CAGAGAGAGATGCAAACTACGCTCAATTGGTAGGTGCGCACGCGATGGTGCGGCGCGTGACAGCACGCGAATGCTCGACTCTCTAGTCTGACTGTCGCCCCGCTGCTCCGCGCTATCGCATTTCGGACAGATCAGACCGCCGCGTCTCATCTTTCGGACATCACACCTGATCCACATCCGGCTTCCTGTCGCATCGAGCGAGCGCTTCCCCGCGTCCCCGTCCCGCCACCCCACCGCCCGATCCGGGGTCCGGTGCCCGAATAGCGCGGCTTTGGCGACACGGATCCCCCCCAGCGCGGAGCAGCAGACTCGGTGGTCGCGCGCCGCGGCTCTCGGCCGGCGGTCCTGAGATCAGTGCAGCCCGCATAATGAGCGGCTGCGGCTGCTGCACACGGGCCGGGGCACCACGGGGGCCGCGGGCGGGCGGCGGCAGCAGGAACAGGCGGCAGTCCTCGCGGAGCACGTGGTGCAGGGCACTTGCTCGGACCGCAGCGCCTGGACCAGTTTACCTAATTACTGGCATACTGACTGTCCTGCCCGAGCCAGACCTCGTGCGCGCGTGGCACGGGCCGCCAAAGTGGTTATGCAGTCACCGCGGGCCCGACAAAATGCGGAAGGACGACGGGCCGGGCCGCGGGGCTTCGCTTGCCGGCAGTTGCACGAGAGGAGCGCGAGCGTGGGGCCTAAGAACGGTCAGGAGGCGGGCGGGGACATGCAGAGCGGGCCGGGCCCGGGGCTGTACGGGTACATGGGGGGCTGGGGGCGGGGGCTGGTCGGCGCGCACTCACGGCCACGGCTGAATGTCGCGCCGCGTGCTGCTGCTGAGGGAGACCCTGTGGAAGGGCACGCCGTCCGCCTGTTGCGTCAGGCGGCGCAGGCCGGGCAGGTCCTGCAGCTCGAGGGCCTCGATGACGTGCGCGGACGCCTTGCGCGACATGGCGACCGCGGCCGCCGCGAAGTCCCTCACGTCGTGCAGGGTGGAGGAGGCGCGCCGCGACGCCCGCCCGCCCAGCTCCAGGATGCCGACGGACGCCTTGCGTACCCCAGCCACGCCGACGATGGCCCCGCTCAGGCGGCGCGCCATGCTGGGGGTGTTGGCCATCGGCCCGAAGCCCGGCGGCGGCTGCACCATGCCCGGGCCCAGCGCCTGGCCCTGCGAGGGCCGCCTTTGCCAGCCGGCGTACAGCGTGAAGCCGGCGGGCTCCAGTTGAATGCTGTCGCTGCCGCAGCTGCTGCTCGTCGTGCTGGTGGACGACGTGAAGGAGCAGCGGCGCAAGCTCGCGGCCACGGGGCCGTCCACGTCGGCAAAGCTGTCCACCCGGATGCCGCCGCCGGTGAACCGCCCGACGGTGCGGCCATCTGCGTCGCTGGACGACCGACGTCCATCGTCATCGAAGCTGCTGTCGGCCCTGCCACCGCTTCGCTCGTCAGAGTCGTCGATCTCGCTGACAGACGCAAAGCGACCGACGTCGGTGATATCGACGAACGTGCCGCCGAAGAGGAGGGACTCGGAGGAGCCGTCACTCCCTCCGAGGGCGTATCTAGCAACCCGCGCGCGAGTAGCCTCGCGGAAGGCCCGAACTGTGTCGTCCACCCCCTCGACGTCTTCCTCCCCCACGGAGGTGAGCGGGTGCCTGTCGCTGTCCATGGCCCATCCGGGGCCTGCCCTGTCTAGACCGTCCGCCCCGAGGCTGCTGGGCCCACTGCCCCTCAGGACTCGCAGGACCAGTCCGCGCTCTTACTTAGAGCTCGTTGGCACCTCCCCATGACATCACACCCCCACCAGAACGATCACATGGCGCCTGGCGCCACCAAAACGAAGAGCACGCCGCGCAGGACGTGCGGATCCCCGGCGCGTTGGACGTTGGACGCGCCCTCCTCCTCCTCACCGAGCCGGCTCACGCAGAGACGTACAAGGGGTTTGTTTACGACATTTTAACGAACCCAAACGGGCCAAAAACGCTGCTGCTTCCTGCAAATTCCTAATATGACCACTTCTCCCACTCGGCGGCCGGCGCTTTCGGCCTGTTTCCTCTTCTTTTCCTCTTTTACCTCCTCCTTCATCTCCGTGCCGGTGGCTCTCATTCTCTCGCCCCCTTCTCACTCTCGGCGTATTGACCGCGAAGGTTTTTCAGCCTGTCCACCGCTTGATTAGATTAACCAGCGTAATCAATTATCGCCCAAATTTTATGGCGGGCGAAGGCCATCCGCAAAACCCGCCAGCCTAATGATGAAACCCAGCTGAGAGGAGGAAAGAAGAGAGGTAAACTGAACTGTAACGTCAAGCTCTCCCTCTCACGGTGATGACTTGCTAGCCGGTGCTAGCCCATGGATTACCGTGACATGGGTAACATGTGTAAACTCGGCACGACGAGTCATCAAAGAGAGAGAGAGAGACAAAGAGCGAGAGTGAGAGAGTGATGGGAGGGAGAGAGAGATAGATAGAGCGCCGGCGCGCGCGCCTGTCCCGTTCCCGGTACTTTCCCGTACTTCAGGTGGTATGCTACTTCCCCTACTTCTAGTAGCATCCATGGGAACGAGAAGACCACCAGTGCGTTTTAAAACGTACACAGGGTTACTTGATTACATTTGGTTGAAGATATTTAAAAAAAAAAAACAAAAAAAAACTGCTAGTGCCATTTTCGCTAAACATCGTCGCGGATTGTGATAGCACGGCTTACATCAGGCCGGGCACGAGATGAGTGGGGTACACGCAGGGAGGTATGTTCTCCATGCCCCTCTAAATCAGAACTGAACCCACCACCCACAAGGGATTAGACAGGACAGACGCCAACTACCCGCAATGAATGCGCTCGCATATAATTCGCTCATTAATTCCAACTCCGTCCCTTCCGCCCGCACTCCGCGACGCGACGCGACACCACCTACCCACCAACGGCAAGCTCTCGAGGCGCCTGCTACGTAGGCAACATCTCGCCTGCAGTGCATGAGCGTACTGCGGGATAGCCTACCACGAGTCTCGCAGGCGCTGAGCTCCGGTAATTTGTCGAATCCATCTTGAAAAAGCGAAAAGCGGACGTATTCTCTGACCCGACCGACCCGACCCAGCCCGCTAGGGCATATTTTTTCGCCAAACGCTCCGGAACACCGCCACCACGCCGAGAGGAGCCGCTCCTCCAGTTCTGCCCACCTGGCGGGGCCGCATCCTCTCAGCGCCCCGCCACCGGCTCCGCCGCTGCAGCTGTCACCGCGACCACGTGGTCCGTGCTCCCCCC